GGCACTCAGATGCAATGCATTGTGGGGCCAATTCTTGCATACACATAATCCACACACTATGCAGTGTGAAGGCATTATTTTTTACATCATACTTAGTAATAGCAGCATATTAGTATGTAATTATATCTGCTATCACTGCCTTTATACAGTACCAAGGTATTGTTAGCCTGGTGAACAGATACAGATCATTGTGTCTGAACTGGGATCACTGTCTTCTGTTGGCCTCTGATCTGGATGATCTCAGCATGAAGAAGAAAGTAAAAATCTGGATGCCATATGATCCACACATCAACAGATATATCAAGCTCTTATCTCTAAGTACCTGTCAAGCCTTTGGGCGAGAGAGCGAGAGCAAGAGAGACAGAGAGACAGAGAGATAGAGAGAGAGAGAGAGAGAGAGGCAGAAAGTTACACATGGAAGGCGAGAAAGCAGAACAACAAAGTGAAATGATGAAGGATCTAGAAGGGGAGAATGTGGAGAGTGAAGAGGGGATGAAGATGAGCAGAGGGGAACTTTCCCAAGAAAGACTTTGAGGAATTGGAGAAGGAAACAGAATCCTGAAACCTAGTGTGTAGTTGAGATCAGTATGAAAGCAGAGTTGTTCTAACAAGGGCCTCCTTTCGCAAGATGGTCTCTGGTTTGATATATTTGTGTCTTGAGATTTTTGTTATCAACAATAATGGAAGTTATTTTTGACGTTGAAACATTTATATTTTAATTTCAGGATTCCATCAGTTCAGTTGGATAGAAAGTGTTTCCGATAAAAACTGCTCACGGTGAAGTCTGTGAACTATCCAGATTATTCAGGACATTAACAAACATCTAAAACCAAATCTATCTGAATCACATAAACGTAATGACTATTTATGTATCAATAACTCACCCCAAACATCTTCACCAACACATTATCATCGATCTTTGATAATCCGTCATTCTCAAAGCTCCTGAAAGTTCTCCCATTTTCTCTGCAGCCGCGTAGAAAATGTTGAATTGTACTGGCGAACAGCCTGTTGCACGGAACCTCCACGAAGGCCCGTCTGATGGTGTGATGTCGCTTTTGCCGTCCGGAGCCTTGCAATTTCTTAAATAGTAACGTTTTAGCGATGATGCATGTGTTTGGGAAGTAGTGACGGCATGAATCAGATTGTTCTGTAGGAGTTTGTGTGAGAGTTTATTCCCATTTACTTCAAGTCATCTAGACTTGTCTCTGTTTTGTGATTCTCTGTTCGCCGTGGAGGCATGCCAGGAAAACAAAGTTTCCTTCAAGAATTCAAGGTAACAGGAGGTGATTCACAGATAAACAAAAGGACATTTTGTGGGTGGGCCAGACTCACTTTGTGAGCCGCACGCGCACACACCATATCTGACTGTATCATTGGACATGATCGCTCCTGTCGGCTGGATCACTGCCTGTAATGCCAGGCCTTTCTCTATAATGACATTCCATTGAAAAATGAATTGCTCCTGCTCGCTCCCTCTCTGCAGGAATGTGGGTGGTGAGTTATCGGATTGTCGGAGCGCTGGCATTCATACCAGTTGTCTTAAGATGCCATGGCTGGTGCTCCTCCTCTACCTTAGTCGGGGAAAGCTTTTCAGATTCCATCGCACAGTACGTCTGTGTTTAACCCGGGATGATGGAGCCTGAACAGCCAGAACTGGATGTACTGAAAGTACGAATCCCTCATCTTATCCTGCCATTTGTGAAATCTGGAAAACATTTTGATTCAATTTTAGTGAGAACTTTCTTAGGAGATAATGAATATATGCAGTTTTCTCCCCAAAAAGTACTTTATTTGAAGATGAGGAGGAAACACTCAAACTGCACCATTGTGTACATGTACCTAAAGTCTCTTCTTCCTGATGTCTTCCTCAACATCTCTGATCTGGTCTGTTGGCATAGTGATAATAACACAACAATCCTGTCCAATTTTCTCTTTGTATGCCTGAACTGCTCTTACGTTTCTAGTGTTACAGGAATGCAATCAGGATGCTCTGACTCTGTGTACTTTGTGTTCCTTCAAGTAGCTCGGTGACGCATATTCTTAAGTTTAATGACTGCTTTTGATTTTGCAGCCGAGGCAGGAGCTGAAGAATGTGAGCCGAGATGATCTGCAGGTGTTTGCACCATGTCCCGAATGGTTGCTACTGGAAACAGGGAGCTGCTCTTTACGAAAAACATCTCCACGCTGCCTCCAGCAGTAGCCTTGTCTAAGCAAGTCAGACATAACTGCGATCCTGGCCCCGCAGCCTTTACTGTCAGAACGACTTCATATCGTATTTAAACTACACACAAAGGGCCTCCACACACCGGCAGCGGGACAAATAAAAATAATTAAACACAAAAATACTCGCCTGCAAATATTTTGCATCAGAACTGTTCTCAATAGTTACTGAAATGTTTCACAGTTGCAACAGTTATTTGATAAAAAGGTTCCAATGGGCCCACTGACCCACGAACTGTGAAATAAGACGACTCAGTCAATTCTTTGTGATCAGAAAACATGTGATTCAACAAGCCAATCAGATTTGGCTCCCCTTCATACGTCACATGCAGGCTCATTAGAATCCTCCTCTACTCATCAGCGTCCTCCAGCTCCCCCGGGGGAACCAGAAACATTCATCATCATTTGGCGTTGGTGAAGTAAGCCACCAGCAAATCAACACTTCAGCATCTCAGCTCAATATATTTTGTCCATGAGCAAGCATGGAGCCGAAGAGCAAAACAAGTTCCGCTCCCCCGATGGAGACGGTGGTATGTGTGATGGAGTTGACGGCGTGGTTCCACGTAAACACGATGCAAATTGGTGAGGAATGAATCGAAGCAGATGTCCCGCGTTAAACTGCAGTACAATGCAAATTCAAGCATGAAACAAATCACGTGCAAATTCCAACAAGCACACAAAAGGAAGAAGACCTCACTCTCCTCTGCACTGCGTTGTAAACTTGTTAACTACGTCTGCAGAAAACAAAAGTTCTAATTTTTAGATCAACGATGCAAGCATAATGCTAGAAATGCTCCGGCTTCCTGTGATGGAATTTCCGACACTAGACATTTAGAGAAAGCACACAGGAGGACGTTGGAGAGCGGTTACGACTGGGTGATCCTGGAGCTGGTCAAGCGATTAGGTCACATCAGGTCTGGCAGAGTTGTGGTTGACAGAGGAGAAACAGCAGCACAGCTTTGGGCCGGCTGCCATTTAAGACAATGGGGCTTCTCAGGGATGGAGCTTCCTTGAATTGTGCACCGTTTCCACGCAGTGAATGAAAATACGAGCCCCTCGGAGGTGGTTTTTCCACCATGGCCGGCAACAGCTGATACGTCAGAGAGCGCTCACCCTGAGCTGAACTGATATTTCAAAAGGTGCACTAGACGGCATTCAGAGCATTAATGGCAGCAAACAAGTATTTGCTTTTTAAAGATATAGTGTCGCACTCCCTCTGTGTGTGTTGTAATCATAGACTAAGAGGTGGACGTAGTCATCGTAACGTTCACCGCGGTTTTAAAGTCCTTGAGTGTGGCATTTTGGCCGTCGCCATCTTGTGTTTTTTGCAACCATTGAACTGAAGTGACCATATTTGGACTTTGGAGGAGTGACGTAGAGACGGCGTATACGGCTCTGGTAGCGGCCTGTCAATCACAAGGTGGCCCCGCCCTAAACATTATTGTCCATAAAGTACCATCATTTACTAAATGAACATCATGCTGTATTGAAGACGACTTGAAACTAGAGATTGAGACCATAAACTCATGTTTACAATGTTTACTGAGGTAATAAATCAAGAGAGAAGTAGAGTCATTTTCTCATAGACTTCTACACAACCACACCTCCGGTTCCCCGTCAGGTAAACACGTTAGCTGCATGCACCGGCTCAGTTGCCGCCATGTTGAGAGCTGTTGAAAAGCAATAGAAATGCTCACAATCGTAATTACGCACCTTCAAAGGTAAGCTATTCTTGGATGAGAAAGTGGTTCACCTACATGAGGTAAGGAGGTGCCCGTTTGATGCTCATTGTGTCTTTGTGTCATGGGCTAGATGTCATCACCAAGCTTCTCTTTAAATAAGGTGTGTGAAAACTAGTGACAACTTGTCAATATTCATGTTTATTGACTTTTGTTTTTTTAATGTTTGGTGTGTACCACAAATTAATGTACAAAGAAAACTGATGAGCTGTTCACAGGTGCACAAAATAAATTGTGGATAGTAATGAAAAAACAGCTCCAAACCTTCTCCGGAAAACAAAACATGGAAAAACCTTTTGGCATCCTTGTTATCATTAAGTCTAATTAGCAGTGGCATTTTAAAGTTTCAGTTTAATGGACACCCACTGACGCATCACTTCCTGTTGCGTTACTTCTAGCTGTACTTTGGCCGTAGTACACCATGGCAATGATACAGCGGCTCAATTAGCAGTATCAAAGGCCCCGAGCATCCACACAGGTGTTTTCAGTTAACGCCGATTAGATCTCTGCTCAGGTTAAAGCTGCGATGGGAACGACGTGAGGTCAGCACACTAATTACACCCCGAGAGCCTTTTCACAAGAGGACATGTCGTAGCAGGACAAGCTCAGGGGTAATTACTGACATTACCAACGGCTGTGCTCGGCTTTAATAAGCCTCTTCCAGTGGCGTGCTGTGTTGCACGCTGGCTCACTGTTATTGGTTTCGCACGTGCTTTCACTGCTGTGGTATACAATGCCAATGATCAAAGGGGGGGGGTCACACTTTTCCATGACTTTACTGCACTACCCGGATGTCGTGGAGCACCTTCACCAGACCAGCGGGTCTGCTCTGATGCTGAAACAGGTGCAATGAACGTTTAATGAATGTTTAAATCAAGCTGTCTGGAGAACAGGGCTAATCAAGCAGAAGTGAAAACACCTGTGTGGGAGGACCACAGCTGTGAAAGTGGAACAAAGTCACTGCGTGAGTGATCAGGTATTTAGCTCATGCAAAGAGTGGATATTAGTCAAATTATATGTATACATTTACAAAAGAAAAAGATGTTAAAGTGCCGTTTATTGGATGAAATGGAAGGTACACGGCACAAAAACAACAGGGACACAAAACGGTTTCATGTGAAGCAGTTTCCAGTGTTTTTCCTGAATTCATCAAGTCCTCTGGGTACCATGCCTTCATTCCTACACAACAACCTGACAGTGTTCATATCCATCAGGACCCCTTTGGATGAAAAACAATAACTACTGTCAGCACTCCGTGATTGGCTTGTTCAACGTTTCCCTTTTTATTTATACAGAATTATACTTTATTTCTAAATATCTAAATCTATAATCTAATATTAGATACTGCTTTGTGGAGGCTAATGGAGATCCAAACACCTGTACAGTCAAATGTAATCTAATACAGAGGCTGAATCTTTTGTGAAGATCAATTCTACAGCATTTTCTGATTCATTGGCAGTATTATTGTACTGGATTAGAACTGCTCATTAGATGTAGTGCAATCCAACATCCTTGCAATAATCTACATCTTTATGCACGTTCTTTATCCACATTAATATACTGACAGTATTAGAAATATAACTGTCTTAATTACAGATCTGTTGTTTGTAAAGCAATAGTTTGCACATGCAGGTATACCTCATGAACTGGTAACTGATGGTGTACACTGGACGGTTTTCACATGGACAGTTTTTTGCCTTAAAATACTATGAAAATACTACTATACACCTCATTGGATTATGTGCAACAAAACAACTCCAGCAGCGGAATGTATTATCAGAGTGTTGGCCATTTACTTCAAAATCTCTCAATGAAATTAAGGAAGTTATGATTTAAATTCAGTTTGGTCTGGAGTGCAGTGCAGTGGAAGCAAAGCAACCCCAACCCTGATATTGCTGCATAGAGGAGAGTCTCAGTAAAAGGTGTCATATTAAATCAACGGCGGGTTCTAGAGTAGAAGAACAGCACCAATACCATTAAAGACACCAATTTGATATAAAGAAATCTGACAATACAAAATGAATCTCATCAGTAAGAAAACACAGTGCAAGAAAGGCGACAAATAAAGTACTTGTTGAAGGAAGAGGACTGATTTTAAGGCAGATAAAGTGATGCGACGGATTGATCGATACTGTGATCTGGTTCTGTTATGGACAAAGAAAAGAGCACCCAAATGGACTCTATTGTTGTACGTCTCTGTGTTAGAGATGTCAGGCACTCTATGTCAACGCAACCAAAATCATCCCTCCCCATGTGCAGCTGCACCAGTGTTTTCCCCGCTCCGGTCCTCGTCTCAGCCGAACCCCATCCTGGTTTTACAAGTGGTTGTCGAGGAGACGGTAGGGAGATGCTTGGGCCCCTCTTACGCCACGGTTTTCTTCTTGCACTCCACGGAGCAGAACAGGAAGCCCTGCACCGCCATGAAGCGCTGGCCCACCAGGCCCTTGGAGCAGCCAGAGCACTTGAAGCAGTGCGGCTCGGCGTGCCAGTGGTACTCTCCATAGGAAACCCTCTGGGCCTCGGGCTCCACCGAGTTCTGGCAGGCGGCGCATTTCTGCCGGAGGACACGATGATGTAAAGGCAAATAGTCGGCGTTTCACTTTCATTTTGTTATTCAAGCTTTCCATTTAGGTTTCAGACATTTCGTCTTTTCAACGAACACACTGCTGAAAACACTCCAAATCAAACTCCACTGTAGCCGCACGAGAAGTGTGAACATGAGGCACGCATGTGCACATAAACATATACAGAGAAAAATAAATCAAATATTGGTCCAGGTTTTTAACAGGGAAAAGTGTTTTCCTTTAAAGCCAATTGAATTCAAGTGGAAAGTGAGTTTTGAGGCAAGAAGCACATGGTTCTTAACATTAACTTTATACACAAAGTATAACGTTGCATAGAAGTGAGTCTTTGTGGGGATTATGTCGGATAAATCGTGTATACACATGCTGAGTGCTTCACATTCTTGACTTCTGGGCAGCCGGTGTTGATTTACAATCCTTCTCTGATATCAGTTTTACTCTGAGCTCTGCTGTTCAACGTGTGTGAAGCGCTTTTACACCAAATGAAAATATTTGATGTACTGCATTGTTTCAAATATTAACGTACTGTACTAGACAACTATATAAAAATCTTCATTATAATAACCTCCGTTGATTTTTTTGATTTTGCCACTAGGATATTACTGTCGTTAATATAGATCCTACTTTCTACGTATTTGTAGGTCAGACAGGACTCTCGTCAACCTAAACCTACACACTAAGAGACCTAAATAGTGGTTTGGATAAGAGCTTCCAATAAACAAATACTCATAAATTTCAGCTACTTGAACAAACAGAAAGACAGAGAAGGAAAGTCTCACCACAGCGTAGCTCTTCATGTAGCACGGCTGGCAGACCGGCTTGTCGTTCTCCATCACATACGTCTCTCCGGCGAGGATGCAGTCGCAGTCAAAACAGCAGAAGTGCTTCAGATGCCAGTTCTGGCCCTCAGCCTGAGTGTACTCATTACTGAAGATCAGCTGTGGACACACACAAACCCAAATGTAGGTCATATGGTGCTACATACCTGGAAACTACAGAAAGGCTGATGCATCTAAAAACCACACAATAATTGTGTTGCAATGAAAAGAAAACGGGACAACTCTAACCCTCCCTCACCTCATCGCAGCCTCCGCAGCGCGGCTTCTCGCTGTCTCCATAGTGGCGTCCACAGTACAGCTTTCCTTTCTTCCAGAAGTAGATCATGTCCACCAGCAGCTCCTTGCAGGTGCAGCACACGAAGCACGCCGGGTGCCACATCTTGTCGTAGCCGGCCCGCTCGGCGTAGACGGCTGGCTCGCCCAGACGCATCGGCTGCTGGCAGTGATGGCATGACTGGGAAGGAGAGGAGAAGAGACGGTGGTCAGGACGGTGGAGGGTTTGATTCCTCGCTTTATTTAGGAGCGCTTCTAAGTCAATCACCAGTGAATGTGTTTTTGATAAATTACTTTTTGTTGATTGATTTATTATCATTACGACACACAATGCATGTATTAGATGGAGTACCAATGTACTGTATGGATATCTAACTGTACACAAATAGAATACTGCGTTAGAACAGTGAGATGCATTCTGTCCCCAAAATATTTCTTTCATGTCCTTTAATAATAACAAAGAATTATGATGTACTTCCAGTCGGTCTACACAAAGGCCAACATCCTTCTCTTTGACTCCATCTCAAAGTCAAGAGGGCCTCCTTTGATCCGACAATCAGGCTCTTCTATCAGGGAACATTTGAACCTTCTGCCCTGGACTCACTGAATGGTGAAGAATTCCCCTTTATAAACACCGATGTTATTAATCAAGATGGTGGAGTTATGGGGAAGGTAGCGATAAGTGAATACAAAGTTGTTAGCGACGCTCCCTGCCGGGAGAGAAGAGCGTACTGTGAGGAATAAAGACGGAGGATGAAGCTGAGAGAGCAAGAGAAGGAGAATGTGAGAACAACACGGTGAAGAGAGAGAAGACGTCTTCAATCACAAGACTCCACACAGAGAGAAGAAGTGGCTGCACACGGTGGGGATGTGACTCACGACCCACGACCCACTGTGAATTAGAACGAAATCATCCCGAGAGTCGGTCTTATGGCTCCACCTAGTGTCCTGTTTAATCATGACTGACAGCAATGCACTGTGGGAACACGAGGATAAATCTACTGAACTGTTAACACTAAGATCATAATTTAAACGTATTCTGGTGTGGATGCCGACACAGTGCAGATGTACAGGAGTGAGACTGCTTACAAAGGCCCGCTGTGGTAGTCCAGCCTGCTGCGCTCCAGGGACGCCGATGGCTCCAGCAGTGGCAGTGGTACCCATGGCTCCTCCAGCTGGCCCCAAGCCAGCAGACGGTCCGGTCCCAGGCCCCGAAAGTGGTCCAGCACCACCGGCTCCGGCCCCTCTACCTGCTCCGGGTCCGAAGCCAGCACCACCTCCGGCCCCAGCCATAGGCCCAAAACCAGCGCCTGCAGCCCCTGGGCCGGAACCAGCACCTGCTCCAGCCACGGCACCCCCAGCTCCCGGTCCAAACCCAGCCCCTCCGGCACCAGGTACACCTCCAGCCCCGGCTCCTCCCTGCCCTCCAGCCTGAGCCATCTCCTCAGGCAGCATGACGTCTCCGACCCCCAGGGCCTCATCCTTGTACTTGCGGACGAACTGCTGCATCTGCTTGACCTCGGCGGGGCTCAGCTCGTGGCACATGGACGGGTCCTGGTCGTGCTCGGGCAGCTGGCGGGCCATCTGCTGCCGGCGGTAAACGGCTCCCTCTGTCCCGGCCACCGGGCGCTTCTCTGGTGGGAGCAGCTCGATGTATCGCACCGCCTGGAGGTCAGAGGGGAGAAGAAAGAAGAAACTGTTCAGACGGAACGAAGGAAAGATTGCATGAAGGACAGAGACGAGAAGAGTGCACGGAGAGACGTTAAGGACCAATCAGGAAGAGAGTGAGGGGAAGAATTTAACAAGGTTCCTACTGATACAGCGCTAGACTAAACACACAAGACGTTCTGGTAGCAACTCCAAGCACCAGATTAGAGAAATGCTGAGAGCTGGTGACTATATCCTCTTTTTAATCATAATTCATTATTATAATCAAATATCTCAAAATATGCCGGCTGAAGAATCTTAAATCCTGTTTCAGGATCTCAAAAGCCTTCACGAGGAGCCCCGGAGTGCTAAAACTATACCATGGTGCTTCTCAGGGGAACCGGATCCTGTAAACTTCTGATCAAAGAAGAAAAATAAAATACAGGCAGGTAGCCGTCCAACCATTACATATGTCTTACTACAGTCCTGTGAGTCACAAATACCGGATATTTAGTTTTTTGTCAGAGCATTAGATTGGTTCATAGCTGTCAGGATGCAATGACAATTTCAACTAAATTATCAAAAGTATTTTGAAGAAGATTACCAACCTGTCCTTTAATATACAATACTGTAAATGATGAATCAAATATCAAAACAAATCTAATTAAAGCCTCTATTGTAGCATTAGTTTGAACTCTTACCAGATACTTATTGGCTACCGGTGGCGCCCACTCATAGGTGACAGACTTCATCGGCACATCTTTGGGGACTGGCACCAGATTGGCTGACGTGGCGCCGACAGCAACCGGCACTTTGTTAACCTTGACAGGTGTGAGGCCGGCTGGTACGGCCTGAGACTGGGCCTGAGCCTGGGCCTGAGCCTGGGCCTGAGACTGGGCCTGAGCCTGGGCCTGAGCCTGAGACTGGGCCTGAGCCTGGGCCTGAGCCTGGGCCTGAGCCTGAGACTGGGCCTGAGACTGGGCCTGGGCTTGAGCGCCGTTGGGTGCCCAGCCTGCAGCAGCGCCAGCAGGCTGCACAGAACCAGCGGTGGCCGACGGAGGCACCACAGTGCAGGAAGCGCTCGGCGGCACGATGTAGGCGGTGCCGGTGCTGGGCAGAGTGATGGTCACCATGTTGCCCTTGTAGCTGGGGATGCCGTCGGTCTTCAGCTTGGCGATGAGGCCCGTGTACTTGGTGTCCTCGAACAGCTTGCCCACCTTCTTGTTCTCTTCCGAGTTCATCTGCACGTTGTGCTCCGTGAGGCCACATTTACAGTTTCGGCAGATTTTTCTGTCAGAGGAGAAGAAGACGGAAACATTTCAGATTTACAGATATCAGACACATGCATGTGTTATGCATGTGTATTGTCTCGTGCGTTAACATGTGAATTCCTAAAGTGATTTATACAATACATCGATGCTTGGTTCAGTGTGGAACAATGTCCTTATTTTCTTGATATAAGAAGCCCAGCGTTCAATTCATATTCAAATATCTGCTCTTCTCACATGCCTCGACACAGCAGGCTTCATATTTGCAGAGGAACTATGACATCATTTATGGCCGCTATGCTGCATGCTTCAGCATGCCCGGGCCCACAGACTTCACTCAGCAGTGTCGAGCTTTGTAAGCCCGGTTTATACTCATATTGGTGAGAAGAAACAACAATAACGGCAACATTTATACTCAGGAACAGAATCAGGAAAGATACCTTTAAACTAAGGCTGACATTAACTACATTACAGGTATTTTAAATCCAGAATGATCTATATCCACGTTAACTAGCTTGCAGTCTTCTTCTTCCCTGTCACATCTCGGCATGTTACCTCCACCTGAGGATCAGTGGAATAGTGCGACCCTCTGCATTATCTCACCTCGTGCACGTTTACGAGTTGTTCCGTAGCGCTACTCGAGCACGTTAACGGTAAAGACGTGTGATCAAATTATGGATATGCAGCACAGTTTTCACATGTTTTATGTTTTTGGAGTTGAGGAAAGCCTTGAACTCGGTGGAAAACAAGTGTCCGAGTGTAACAGTACCACATTCCTGGCTGAAGGTCAGACACACTAAACCCCCACAGACCGCGGTGGGCCTTTGTGCTGCGACGGGCTTCAGGGCACCCGTTGCTGTCTTCTGGAAAACTAGCCAAGTGTGGATGATTGTCCGGACAGAGCAGTGTTTCATGAGCCACTGGCCCAAATAAATGCACGTTTTGTGCCAGAGATGGGAGGCAAAGGCAGAGAACCGCGGGTAGTCCGGCTGCTCCTAAACGGTCCCATGTTGTTGTTCTGTTAAACTACGACGGGGTGCTGGGGCCATTGTAGGTAAAAAGAACAACAGTTACACAGCCAGTGGGGAGTAAAGCTATGACAAGAAAACTCTGATATTCCCTGAGATTAAAGTGGCTAGTTTACGAGAAAAGAAATCAAAAATTCATGAAAAAAAAACTCAAAAGCTCAAACAGGGAAGTGCAACATCGTGGTGAAGTCAGCCGTCTGAATTTTGTAGTTTATTTTATGTTCCGAGTTGTTTTTTTTAACATGAATAAATGCAAATATTTGTGGAAGTTCAAGGAAAGTAGAGACGAACAACTTCCGTCTTTGATTACACGAAGGCGTGTCTTTTATTTCAGCACAGCTAAAGGTAAAAAACAACCGTTGAGAAGCCATTATTCCAAACACGTAGCTAAAGCAACAGACAAAAGGCCCATACTGTGATACCATGGCAGTTTAACAACCTATTATAGAGAGTTATGTCCCGAGAGAGGGATGCCTGGAATACTCCGGCACAGAGAGGTGGAGGGGTGGAGACGTGGAGAGATGGATAGATGGAGAGGTGGATAGATATACAAGTAGAGAGGAGGATCGTTAAGCATGCTCGTCTTTAATATTCTCTTTGATAATCACAGACTAACATACTGATGAAAGCAGTGTTCTACTGCGGCTCACTCTGCAGCTCCTCCTCAAGGTTCAGTGTTTTGCTCAACAGGCTTCCTTTAACCTCAGATGCTGCTCACTTACTGTAATTACCCAGAGGCCTCTAGTCTCGACACAGGAAGTCAAGGGGCGGGTTCCCCACCGTTAAACATGTTTCTGACGGTTCCGTGCTGCCTGACAGAAGCTGTACAAACCTCCAGAAATGAAGCTCGAAGCCTTCACACTTGTCCTTGCACTTCAAACAGGCCGCTCCGGCTCCGAACTCGTGTCCGAGGGCCATCTGTGAAACAGAGCACATGAGGGAGATTATGAAGGACGTCGTGGTTTTGTGTGTGCGTACATGTATACATATATATATATATACATATATATATACATATATATACATATA